TTTCTTCCTCCTTTTCTTTTTAAAAAAATTCTTTGCTATGAAGGATGGTTCTCTGGAAGGTATTCAGATGGAAATAGGTGATGTTAAAACAAAATATATTAACAAAAGTTGTTGAGAAAGAGACAGCAGACAGATAGAGAACAGAGAGAGAGACGGGGGGGGCGGAGGGGTAGAATTAGGATGGCATAATACTGGGAGTCAAGAGGATCTAGGTTTGAATTCTACCTCAAGGGTTTACTACCAGTGTGACTCTGTGCAAGACATTTAATCTCTCCCAACCTCAGTTTTCTCATCTGAGAAATGGTGGCTTTGGTGGCCTCTGAGGTCCATTCCATTTCTAAATCTGTAATTCTATGAAATCCACAAGAGTTTGTGTGTCCTACACTGTGTTAGGTACTGAGGATTCAAAGGGCAATGGTCCCTGCCCTTGAGGACCTCACATTCCATCACAGGAAGCAACACGTACACATGGGAATGGATCTAAGATACAGACAAAGACCATAGTGTCAAAGCTGGAAGGTGGAGAAGAAGCCAGTTAGTTCAACTCTCTTATTTTCACAGAAAAGGAAACAAGAGGTCAGAGAAAGGCAGTGATTTGCTCAAGGGTGCACATGTTGCCAAGGTACAGCTGAGATATGAACCCAAGTCCTTTGACTCCCAATCCAGTGCTCTTGCCATGGAACCAGATGCCTCTCTCCTGGGACTTCACTTGCTTCTTCCTCTCCCCTCCTCCATGCTAATTTCAGTGTCTTCTCTGGTCTCCCTGAGGAGTTTCTTGAGGGCAGAAATGAGCTCATATCTCTCCAGTAAACCCAGCCCCAGGATGCTCATTATTGGAAAAACATCTTCATCCTAGAAGATCTCATCAGCCTCGGGACTTCACTTCAATCCACCTTCTGTCCCTTTGATTGGAGGGTAGTGCCATGAACTTCCAAACCTCCATTTAAGGAGGAGATGGAGCACCAATATCCACTCATTGACCACCTGGCTGTAGTGCCCTGGAACGTCTCGTCTCAGACTTCACCATACCCTGACATTGAGTACCTCCCCTTCTCCACCTTTTTGGTCTCCTTTTGTGTATTGCATTCCCCCATTAGATTGTAAACTCCTCCATAGCAGAGATTCTTTTTAACTAATTGCATTTCCTGAGCTGAAATACCATACCTGGCACCTAGTAGATGCTCAATAAATGTTTATTGATTAATGATAGTACACAACCCACCCCACCCCCCAAAAAAACCCTCACAACCACAGTGGGGAAGGGTTGTTCAATTAATATAAAGCTGATTTCCATGTTTGCTCAGAGCCAAGTTTGTTCGAAGGATCTCAAATCGTGGACTTAGGATTCAGACAGTTGTCAGCTGGTCCTAAATTCCTCAGGCAAAATTCCGGTCAGACTTGTTCTTATACCCACCCCAGGCCAGTTTCAGAGAATCACTGAAAGTTTGGGCTCCAAGGTATTTTAGGGATCAGCCAGTCCAACCCCCTAATTTTACAGATAAGTAAACTATGACCCAGAGGCAAATTAGGTCACACTGATATTGAGTAGCATGGCTGACACTGGAACCCAAGTCTTCTGACTTCAAATTATTGTTTATTCCACAGCTTTGATTCAGCCTTCCCTTTTCTTGTCCCACTCCAAAGCGAGCACACACACACACACACAGAGTCAAAGGTGAAACCAAGAACAAAGGAACTTCCCAGTCCAAAACTCTGATACTTCTGAGTGGGAATGTAGACTCCTAGCTTAGATGCCACAGGACCCAGATCCCAATTCAGTCTCTACCACTTACTCCCTGAGTGAATCTGGGCAAATTCCCTACCCTCGATGGACCTCAATTTCCTCTAATGTAAAAGAAAAAGTAATGGACACATACTCCAAAGAGATCAAAGAAAAGGAAAGGGCCCAAATGGACAAAATATTTCTAGCAGTTTTTTGAAGCATCGAAGTGTAAATCAAGGTGCTGCCCATCAATGACAGAACTGCTAAACAATTTATGTTATATGAATGTAATGAAAATACTATCGTACCATAAGAAATGATGAAGGAGTCAGTTTCAGAGAAAGCTGGGAAGACTTGTATGAGCTGATACAGAGTGCAGTAAACAGAACCAGGAAAGAAATGTATAGAGACAGTAACAATGACATTGTAAGAGAGTGACAATAATATTGTAAAGATACACCTTTGAACTCCATTGAATGAATGAAATGATTAACTCTCCCTCCAGAAGACCAATGCTGCCCACCTCCTGACAGGAAGATGATGGACTTGAGATAACAGAATCACTCACACACACACATACACAATTGGCATGACAAATTTGTGGATTTGTTTTTGCTTGACTATGCTTGTTATAAGGATTGTATTTTTCTGTTTTTTATGGCTGGGGAGACTCTTGGGGAGGAGGGTGGAGTTAGCTATATATGATACAGAAAGAAAAGAAATAGGGTCATTAAAACTTTTTTTTTCAAATGTATAGAAGAGAAATTCAGAAGGAAACAAACAAATAGGGCAGTTTTGAAAGTAACATACTGAATTTTTTACATTTTTAAAGCAAATTGTATATAATAGAGATTTACATTTTCTCTTATAATCCATTTTCTACTTTGAATATGGAAATGTATTCTTTTTTATTTATTACATTCAGAACACATTTTTATGACCCTCTTCATCTTGGGGTTTGCTAAGTTACTGGCCCCAATCCCAGTTCCAAGTGCCCCAAATAGGACTCTTCCCTAACACAAACAATGCAGAGAGATGATCAGCCTTGATCTCTGCCTTGGACTCCCCACCACGCCCGCCTTTCTCCTTTCCCCATAGAGACCCATATCATGTTTTGGGCCCTCCTGTCTCTATGAAACTCCCAATAAAATACTGGCCAGACCTTTGCCCCTTCCAAAGTCAGGGCCTAGGTTTCTATGAGCCTTACGTGTCTGTTTACCTTACCCTGTTTATCTTCCTGGACACTTGGGAAAATTTATGGAGGGGGAAACTGGCAACCATGGTGCAGGCTGCCTCTGGTGAGGTAAATCTTACCCACAGGTAAAGAAGGTCTTTCAAGATTGTCAGAAAGAAGCCTCTGGAACTCTTCTCATTACAAAAACAAACAAAAAACTTTCACCAACTAAATCATGTCTGACATACCACTGTTTCATAGAATCATAGATTTCTAATTGGAAATTTTCTCAGAAGTAGTCCAACCCCTTATTTTACAGAGGAGGAAACTGAGGCTCAGAGAGAGGACATGTCCAAAGTCACACTAGTAAATGGACTAGCCAGGATTTGAACCCAGGTGCTTTCTCTCCAAATTCATTGCCCCTTGACAACCAATGGGCTTACCAGCTTCTTTCCTGCCAGTCAGATTTTAAAGGTTGAAGGAAAAAGAACAGGAGTATTTGGGAGCCTAGAAAGCGGGAAGGAGGTATGAAAGGGAGGAAAAGAAGAAACAAGGAAGAGGGCAGAGGCAAACTTCATGATTTTGCCAAAGACTGGCCCTGCTATGGGATTGGAGACTAGCTCTGAAGTATCTGGAATTCCACCTGGAATTGAGCGAGCTGCCTCCCCGAACTTTGCCCCCATCCTCTCCTGGGGATCCCCTTCTGTCCTGCCCCAAACCAGAAGTCAGACATCCAAAGATGGACCCAACTGGCCATTTAGAGCATCCCCCCAAACCAGAACTGACCCTTTACCATGAACCCCCAGGACCTCTGGACTGGCCCATAAACTGGTGATATTCTATTAGCCTGGGCTATGCTGAGCATACATTTGACACTAGAAATTGGAAGAAGGGATCTGTCCTCTCTGAAGCTGAAGACATATAGGATCTCAGCTCTAAAAGTGGAAGGGGTCTCAAGGGCCACTTATCCAGGCTCCTCATATTGCAGATGAGCAAATCAAGCAAAACAAGAGAGGTTGTGATCAGCCCAATGTCACCCAGGCAGCAGGTGTGAACTTCAACCCCACCCCTTCTGCCTAGAGAGCCAGTGCCCTTTCCATTGTTCAAATGGCATCTAAAATGTCCCCAGACCTTAGGATAGGACTAAATGCCAGGACAGAGGCTCAGAACTTGGGCTTTCCAGGGCCTCCAAGACACACGGATGGTGGACACCAGGCCTATCTCTGGCTTTGGAACCTTCTGGTTCGCTGAGATACGGGAGACTTGAGGAAAAGGGCGGAGGGCATCAATCCTCCAGAGGGACAGGCAGGTGTGTCCAATCCTTCCAAATAATAAGGGCAGGCCAGGAGCACTGACACCGAGCTGGGGAAGGACCCTTTCCCCCTTCCAGAACAGCCCTGTTGTGCTGCTTCTGGGAATATCCACTGGCCTCCTACTGTGTCCTGATCAGGCCGATTTCCATCTGTTCCCAGGAGACTGACAGCCCTTCAGAACTAGTTACCTTGTCAGTCAGTCAAAAAGCATTTATTAAGCGCCTACTATATGCCGATCTCACTGCTGAGCACAGGAAAGGGACGCCAATAACTGCGGGCTGGTAACTGGAAAAGTGTATTGTTTCCCCTATTTTTTTCCCTGATCTTCACCTGAGAGTTTCTAGGGACTAGAAAAGTGAGCCGGAAAGGAATCCGTAGCTTGGGTCTCCTAGGCACCACAGGGATCTGGCTGCTCCCCCGAAATCCCCACTAGCCGTCCTGGTTGCTAGTCAGTCAAAGGCGTTCTTGCCGATGGAAGTGAATGCTAGCAGGGTGGACCCAATTGCCGCCCCCTGTGGCCTCTCTTCTCCTCTCACCGTCAAGGGGAGGGGGTGTGGGCGTGGTAGGAGACACGTCACCGAACTAGGAAAGTCGTGGCCCCGCCCTGGCCCGCCCCAGCTCCAGCCTTGGGCACTAAGGTGAGGAAGGAGAGGAGGCAAAACAGCCAGAGCCTGGGAGGCAGGCAGTCCAGTCACCTAACAGGCTGTTGGCAGGTGCAGACAGGTGCGGCGGAGCTCGGCGGTTACAGTCAGAGAAGCCAGCTCCAGCCACTGAGCCCCCCAGCCCTCTGCCATCTCTACCAGGACTGCCCAGGGGACCCCAGCCAGCCCTTGCGCCCCTTCCCACGCCCCAGGGCCTCTGCTGCCGCCGCAGCCATGTCTATGGGCTTGGAAATCGCCGGGTTGTCCCTGGCCGTGCTGGGCTGGGTGAGCACCATCTTGTGCTGCGCGCTGCCCATGTGGCGGGTGACGGCCTTCATAGGCTCCAGCATCGTGACGGCGCAGATCGTCTGGGAGGGTCTGTGGATGAACTGCGTGGTGCAGAGCACGGGCCAGATGCAGTGCAAGATGTACGACTCGCTGCTGGCCCTGCCCCAGGACCTGCAGGCGGCTCGCGCCATGATTGTCGTGGCCATCCTGCTGGCCGCGCTCGCGCTCCTTGTGGCCATGACGGGCGCGCAGTGCACCAACTGCGTGGAGGACGACACCGTCAAGGCCAAGATCACCATCGTGGCGGGCGTCGTCTTCCTGCTGGCCGGCCTGCTCGCGCTCATCCCGGTGTCGTGGTCGGCCAACACCATCATCCGGGACTTCTACAACCCCGTGGTGCCCGAACCGCAGAAGCGGGAGATGGGCGCCGGGCTCTACGTGGGCTGGGCGGCCTCGGCGCTGCAGCTGCTGGGCGGGGCGATACTGTGCTGCTCCTGCCCACCCAAGGAGAAGAAGTACCCGCCCGCCAAGATCCTCTACTCGGCCCCGCGCTCCACCGCCACCACCGCAGCCGGTATGGGGTCCAACTACGACCGCAAAGACTACGTGTGAGTCCGCGCCCGCCAAGCCACGCCGTGGACCCCCGACGGGCGGGCTGGCGCTCGGCGGCCGGGCACGGGCCAGCAGAGGGGACTGAAAGGTGGGCGGGAGGAGGCACCCTCCAGGAGGTCTCCCGTGCCGCGCCGCTGCCCCAGGGCCGAGCCACGACGGCGCGCCCCGGGCGCTAGCAGCACCGACCGTCGCGAATTCCCGGCAACTCCCGGAGAAGCCAGCCCGAGCTCGCCAGAGGGTAGCCGCGGAGCCGACGGAGGGGGACGGCCGAGTGAACACCCAACGCCTCTACCCGTCGAACCCGCTCCTCGCTTACTGTGGCCTGAGCCAGCAGACAGCCAGACGGGCGAAGCGAAAATTGGGGTCCTCCGCAGCTCTGGACTAGACTTGCTCCAGCCAGCCTCGAGCTGATGCGGTGGTTATGGAGTGCACTGGGCGCCTGACCTTGGGGACGCGGCCCGATCCGTCCTCCTGCCCCCTACGTCGGGCCGCAGCCCTCAGATCCTGGGCCTGTGGGTGAGGAGGATCGGCCGCCGCGCGCTAGTAGGCGCTGGGAGGGGTTTTTCAATAAAATGTTTCGTTTCGCACCCTCTGGCTCCCTTTGTCCTGAGCAGCTCCGGAGCCCGCACGAGCGTCCCTCTAGCTTTCAGGCTTAGATCGGAATCTCAGCTCTTTCTCCCTTTAGATTCCTGGGACCTTGCCCCTCACAGCTGCTCGCCCCCTCCCCAAGCTTCATCCCCTTCACGAATAGGTTCCCTGTCTGTTGTCAACGTGCCTAGAGCTGGATTTGCTGGTGGAGAAGGAGCTCAGCGTCAAGGCTTAGTGCTGTGGGCCGGGACTCAGTCCTGGGAATGGGGTTCGGTGTTGAGAAGGGGATTCAGTGTTGGGCTAGGGCGCTCGACACAGGGATTGGGGGCTCGGGCTCGGGTGCGAGAGCTCAGTGTCAGGTGCAATGAATTCGGGCTCGGGTGCGAGAGCTCAGTGTCAGGTGCAATGAATTCGGGCTCGGGTGCGAGAGCTCAGTGTCAGGTGCAATGAATTCGTATTGGCTGGCGACTAGGACTCAGCAGTGGGGATGAAGGCTAAGCATAGAGTGCCGTTCTATCAATGACAGCGGATCTCTCGTCCTCTCGCCCCATCCCCTCAGATTGAGTTTCCTCGTTTGCCTATACGTTCGTCCTGCTTCCTCGCGCGGCTGAATCGGAGCAGGAAGCTGACCAAAGGGCCCCTGAGGGCTTAGTGCCGGAGCCCCTTCCTTCTTTCCTGGGCTTCGCTTCTCTTTCCTTCCCCTTTTCGTAGCCCCGGGCTCCCACCGAGCGCAGCGGAAGCTCCAGCCTTGCCCTGGATGTGGCCACAGTTAGGGGCTTTGTACTTAACGTTTGAACAGCAAGACTGGGGTCTGCTAAGAGGGATCTTAAGGAAGCTTCCCTTTCAGGCAGTGTGCAGTGTTCGCATCCCGACGGTTCCCCCTCACTGCAGGCCCGAATGACTGATATCTGACAAGAAGGCTGGAGAGGGTATATTGCGTCGGGAGAGTGGTTGGACCAGGTGCCCTCCGAGGCTGGGATTCTGTAAGGGAGGGGGCGGCTAAGTGCCAAGGATTAGGGATAGAGGGTGACGAATTGTCAAGGATGGGGCTAAGTGCCAGGGGGTGAGGGCACAACACCAGGAATTGGGGCAGGAGGGGACTGATGGAGGGTCAAGGCTGAGAATAGAGGGCCAAGTGCCAGAAGGGACCCTTTGTGCCAGGGAAGGGGACTAATGCTAGGAGAAGTCCAAATGGCTGGGAGGAAGGGCGAGTCTCCTAGACCCACGGCCAGGGCTGGAAGAAGAGTTGAAACTCCTGAGAAGATTCGGGGGAGACCGGGAAACGGGGGGGGGGGGGGGGGACGGGACACTGGGAGCCCAAACCCGTCATTCTTTGTGGTCAGAGAGGAAATTTGAAACCTGAGAAGCCCATCCCATTTGGGAGCCTTGAGCCACCCAGTGCCTGGGTGTCCTGGTGACCCAGGCTACACCAATCCCAGACTCCAGAACACTGGAATGGCCTCCCTTTGTTCCCCAGCCAGCTGGCTTATTGATTGATTGAGTATAAACGAGCTAAGTACCCCCCATTCCCCACCCTGCCACCTTCACCATTAGGGTCAGTGTCTTCTTTCTTCCTCTCCTAGCCATGGGTGCCAACACCTCCTCCCTCTGTCCCTCCTCAATCCCACACCTACTGGGTGGAATGGAGCCATGCAGCCAACTCTTGGCCCTGGCTCTCTGCCACCTGCCCAATTTCCACTGCCATCAGGAAGGCCCGGGATGGGGAGTTCCCAAAGGTGTGAGCTGTGTCTCCCTGAACAGACCAGGCGGTCCCTGAGGACTGAAGATCCATGGTGTAGTGGGTAGCTAGGTAGCACAGGTGATAGAGCACTAGGCATGGAGTCAGGAAGACCTGAGTTCAAATCCAGTCTCATACACTTCCTAGATGTGTCACTCTGGGCAAGTTACTTAACCCTCTGTTTGCTTCAGTTTCCTCATCTGTAAAGTGGGGATAATAATATCACTCCCAGGGTGGTCGTGAGGATCAAAAGAGATAATAAGTGTAAGGTGTTTAGCACAGTACCTGGTCCCATCTTAAGTGCATAGAAGTATTAGCTATTATTATTGTCAGTGGCAGGAGTGCTGGATTTGAAGACCTTGTATTCAAAGTCCCAGCAAGTTCCACCTGGACCTCAGTTTCCTCATCTGTCAAATTATTGGTTTGGAATGAATGAACTTTGTAGTCACTTTGAGGTCTAAATTTTTGATACTATGAGTGGATCTCCTTGTTTTGATCCAGGGCTCCCTGAGTGCTAAGACTGTGTCCTCCTGCACCCCACAGCAGGCCAGGGGCTCCCCCAGGGCAGGGGCTGTGTCTCCCCTATCAGACCAGGGGCTACCTGCTAGTGGGGGCTATCTTCCCTATCAGACAAGCTGCTGCATGATGGTACAAGAGTTGATTCTCTTGTCAGACCTAGAACTCCCCAAAGGGCAGGATTGTACTTCTCCCATCAGATCAGGAGTTATCAGAGCACAGGTGAAGGTTTTATCTGCCTCATTGGATTGAGGGATCTCAAACAGCAGTGGCTATGTCTTCTGTTCTTGATTTCACACACACTTTCATGCCAGGGCCCCACCTGGGGAGGTACTGTTTGTCAGTGGGGAAAGTAACTTGTCAGCCCAAGGTAACTGCCACAATAGAAATCAGATCAGAGAAACTGGTGGCATCAGGCTATGACCAGGAACAGGAAGCTCCAGGCACATTTGGTCTCATATAGTCACTATGCTTTAGGATGAAGGGGCATTAAAAGCGTTGGTCCACAGGCATCCATGGGACAGAAGAAGACATCCGAAGTCAACCATAACAAAGCTCTTAGATTCACCTGTGTCCCCTCTCCCCATACTCCTTTCACCTCAAAAGTCCTCACCTTCCTTTCTTACTTCTCCTGAAAAACCTGCTTCAGATGAAAAGGATCAGTTAAAGGTATTATATATTCATGTGTCAATGACAGTAAAGCTTAATTAATTTTATTTATTTATTTGTTAAAGCAATAATCCACAATTTTGCATTTTAACAGAGGGTGCTACCCAAAGAAATTAATGTCTAGTGGTGAAATTTCCCCTTGGTGACAAGCTAGTAAGGAAGCTAATTGGAGAATGGCATTGGGAACTTCCTGGTATTCCTATAAACATAGTTTCTAGAGTAAAGCCCTTGGATAAGACCATCCTTGACGAAGTTAATAAATTCCCTTAAGCAAAGTACGAAAGTAATGCAAAGCCTTGAAATCAGATGACTGTAACGGAAACTCAACTCCTTTGTGAGAAGGCAGTGGAAAAGTGCTGGATTTAGGATCAAAGGACATGGGTTCAAATCTTGTCTTTTTTCCTTAATTCTTTCATGATTTTTGTTGTTGTTCAGTCAGTTTCAATCGTGTTCAACTCTTGGTGACCCCACTTGGGGTTTTCTTGGCAAAGATACTGGAGTAGTTTGTCATTTCCTTCTCCAGCTTATTTTACAGATGAGGAAACTGAGGCAAACAGAGTGAAGTGACTTGCCCAGGGTCGCATAGCTAGTAAGTGTCTGAGGCTGAATTTGAACTCAGGAAGATAAGCCTTCCTGACTCCATGCACTATGGCATCCCCTAGGTGCCCATGTGACCCTAAAACACGTCATTTAACTTCTCTGAGTGCTCTGGGACTTGTCTGTGGACTAAAGGGGTTAGGCTACATGATTGCTGAAGCCCCTTCAGACACTCAATCTAATTGTCCTTCCCTTCCTAGCTATGTGCCCATGGCCAATCACTTCATCTCCCTTCCCAATCTGTTTCCTCATGTGCAGTGTGTCAGTGGATGGAGTATCCACCTCATGATAAGAAGACTTGGGTCAAAGTCCAGCCCTCAAAGCATCGGGGCAATGAGGTGACCCAGAGCCAATCACTCACAAATCTCAAAACATTGCCCTCAGGACAATTCCCTAAAACCCCAAATTACAGAAGAGATGCTCATTTGCACAGGTGAAGGGTATTTCCTACTGAGGAAGTCCTAAGTCCAGTCAAAACAATAACAATAATTTTCCCCTATTTCACAATAATAACAATTTCACCATCGCTTCCCAGGGTGGCAAATCTTGACATGCTACTTTGTGTGGCCAACATCTGCTAGAGCTCATGGCAAAGCCATGTTTGTCTGCAGTAATAATAGCAAATAGTAGCTAACATTTATGTGGCACCTACTATGTGCCAGGTGCTGTACTAAGCACTTTACAATTATTAGCTCATTTAATCCTCACAAAAACCCTGAGAGGCAGATGCTATTATTATCCCCATTTTTTTTTTTGGTGAGGCAATCAGGGTTAAGTGACATGCCCAGGGTCACACAGCTAGTGAATATCATGTATCTGAGCCTGGATTTGAACTCAGGTCCTCCTGATTCCAGGGCCAGTGCCCTATCTACTATGCCACCTAACTGCCCTTATTATCCCCATTTTATAGATGAGGAACAGATGTTAAG